TCGCGGACGATTGCGTCGTTCTGGCCTTCACCCAAGGATTTAATACTCGGAGCTCATTGGCTTCACACCAGTTGAAGCAAAATCTAATTGAATATACGGCTGTAACTTGGGCCGACATACGTAACCTGTATCAATCAAAAATTAGGGTTTAAGATGATCAACTTGGGGGCCCTTCCGGGTCCGTTTATCCCATCAGATCTATTGACACATCCAAAAGGGACATTGATCATGAACCACGGTCAAATAGGGACTGGTATCAACCGTACAATGGAGACCAAAGAATCAATGGGTCTGGGCGAAACTCTGTGATAAGTGAAAGGAGAAGCGATCGAGGTCAAAATAACCGGGGACTCATGAGTAGAAGCATTTTTGACAGGCCCATCGGACCCAAGGAAGCGCCGAAATTATCGGAGTACAACTTCAACAATGATGTTGCTGCCATCATATCTGCCATCGGGCGCATTAAAGACACCAAGTGGCCTCGACCTTTACAGTCCGATCCAGCCTAAAGGGATCCCAACCTAATGTGCTAATACCATGGCACTCACGGCCACAAAACTGAATGATGTTTTATACTTCAATGCCACACAATAAGGGGGGCGGGGGTGATTTAGGGGTTGACTAGGGATAATGACATTGGTTGGCAATAAAAAATTCAAACGGGCCAAGGAGGGCCTACAATCACTTTTCAAACCAAGCAAAACTTAGAATTTCACCTTGAAACACATTCGGGGCAAGTTCTAGACCATTCGCATGGATAATTGGACTAGCAACAATTCATCTCACCCCTCACGCAACCAGATTGTTAAACATGCCAGAGTTGAGGGCCCACAACGACCACATTCAAGTTTAAAAATCACTATGGTTCAATTAAACCACTCAATGCCAAAGTCAACACAAGAGTCACACAGTCACTAACTAGAGTTATTTCTTTCAAAAACCTTATTTCTAACCATAAGCATGTAGTTAAGTGTGTTGGTACCAATTGAAGTTGACTGTTCCAGCATGACTTAATTAGGTTTTTTTATTCATTACTACTACTATTATTACCTAAACACAAAAAAAATAAACCAATTCCCGTAAGAAGGTTGTCACGCCATCTATCGTTGGGACGAGTCACCCGGTTCACACAACAACTACCTTTGGAAAGAACTGTGACATTAAGAAAACCAAAGGCTTATTATCTACTAGAACATAAAAAGAAGCTATTAAATCAAACAAAGAAGTTACTAACTCAAACTAAGAACAAACAAAGGAACAAAAATAAAGAAGCTAATAAACAAAATCTACTAAATACACATAATGAGAGAAAATGAGAGAATATATATATAATAAGAAAGAAAAAGAAAATAATATCAAGTATTACTGTCCAAATGTCTCAGAATGTACCAAATACGATCAATAAACTCCTCCCCCTGAATAAAGATAATCATTGTCCCCAATGTTGGTGCCACCAGTGTTGATGGTGTTGCAGGATCTAGGCCTGAAGGGTATGAGTCAATCAGCATGTCAAAGGGGATATCTCCGGCTGCAACAAGCTTGGTCACCTGTCTCCCGAGCTTGTCCACTGACTTCTTGCTGGCCTAGGACATTCTCATCTTCTTTACTTCTTTTCCCAGATCTTCGATCACTGACCTGTGCTATACCGAGGTAGCCATGATGGTGTTCTGGTTATCTAGGATCTTCTTCAATGTCTCCTCAACTGTCAGGGTAAACTGAGGTACCTGAACAGTAGATTGTGCTGCAACAGTACTGGATAAGTCAGACAGCTTTGCAGTTGTTGTCTGCATCCAGTTGTTAAGGCTCACCAATGTCTGGGAGACCGCACCGCAGAAAGTGGGGAAGTAGGCATTGACACCAGCTTCAAAGCCGAGGTGGAAGCTGTGGCAGGAACTGCAGTAGGGAATGAAGATGATGGTGGAGGCATAGCTGCGGCACTAGAGGAAGGATCGACCATAGTGGATGGAACATCAACTGCCTCCACAACTACCACAGCTGGCTCATCATACTGTCATGTGGTGGTAGACGGCTAACCTTTTCTCTTCGGGTTGTTCACATCCATAAGTGATTATCATGAGAAAGGCTTCTTCGGCCTCACCTTTGTATCAAAATTCCTTGGTTCAACCCCCGTATCCGTAAGATACTCTGTAATGGTGTTGGGGTACGGGTAGGAAGAGTCATCCTGCTGGGCGATCACTGAGATGTTGGCTGACATCACGGCACCCACATTGATAGGGTACCCGGCCATAATAGAGGCAATTAGGACTGCCCGAGGAATCGGCAAGTGAGTCTCAATTTGACTCGGGTCCAGTCTCTTGCAGACAAATGATTGCCACTGTTTTTCATTGTGATTCACCTTCATATTTTTCGTGGTCTATATCATGCCAGTTATAGCAGTCC